CTGGCTGTAGCAGCGCTATAGCGCTGCTATAGCGCTGCTATAGCGCTGCACAGCAAAAACGCATAATAAAAATCATGTTTCCCTTTTTTATTGCCTAGTTACAACGACACCATAGTACCTCGTACTACATACATCAAAAGCATTTACTCTTTACAGTAAAGTAAGTGGAGGCATTTCAGCGGCTGCAATAGCTGGTATTCCCACAACATGAATTCGAGAGAGCGCTAGCGACAGTTTGGACACAGTCGCAGTTCATTGCGACTGCGCTGCACTTGATGAAGTGTTGCTGCTGCTGTTGCTGCAAGTGCAGTGCTTCGGGAAGAGATGTGGGAGTGGGCAGCAGGTGGGTGAGGGGCTGGATGGAGTCGTTGCAGTGCGCTGCTGTCGGTGAGTGTTGGCGTCGTCTCGGCTTCGCGTGCACCACGGTTTTGCGGTGGCTGGCGGTGCAGCGATGTTCACGTGCGGCAGGGGTGTGCTGACGTTGGCGAGGCTTGGCGCATACAGGACTCTGCAACAGTGCAAACTTTTGGGTAAGTCCGCGCATAATTTGTGTTTTTGCGATATTTTCTTCTGGATGCGTTTGTTTCGGCAAAATTTAGGCAGACGATTATCTGCATATGGACTCTCTGGACCTCAACCCCTCGTTTACCTCATCGAGGTAGGTAGGAGCATACTGACCTCCTCAGGAGTAAGGGATTTTTTGGCGCAGTTAAACCAAATGATGCCTAATTTTGCTTCATCTGCCATCAGCACCGCAGAACTGATTTCTGAATCTCACAGAACTGAATAGCAAATGATTTCTGGGAAATTGATCGCCTAAAATTAGTCCAGAATTGGACTGGAACTGTGATGGACGGACCAGAGGGACAAGGTGAAAGATCCTGATTGTGTGGAGTACGGATACTGCAAAATGCATCGGTGAGGCATGGAACATCGTCATCCTGCTGAAGAGGGGGGCTTGTTGCAGGAACAATGAAAATGATCAAGGCGGAGAAAGTGGGCGAAAAGAAGAATGTTGGCTTAATCACGCTGAACAGGCCAAAGGCACTCAATGCTTTATGCGATGAATTGATGCGAGAAGTAAGTGCATGAGCTCCAAGACATACTACCAGCCACAAATCCGTAAAAATTTCCGCGGAAAAGAACACATTTTATTCAAGTATTTTGTGAATAACAGAAAAGGAGATAAGGGATCAGTGCAAGTATCATGTGTCAGAAAACATTTTAGGGTGCAGTCTGTGATTCATCCCTTAGCTGTAAACACAAACCGAACTTAAAGTTGTTACTGGGAGAGATAGTTTTTGCGAAATTGATACGAAAAATTCTTCCTTGTAAGTGGAATTACTTTGAGATATTGTTGGCTTAAGGACGTGAAATTGACGACTTCAACAAAGTTCTGGATACTGTCGAGTAAATGAGTGGATGATGATTTAAAATAATTTATATTGTTTTAAAAGAAAACAGATGCAACAAAGATGCTTTATCTAGAAGCGGGAAAAAATAATAACTACGATCCGTGTATTGTAGAAAAATGGATAAGAAAAAAATTATAAATAAAAATATTTTAAGCAGAACAGCTAAACAGGAATG